AGAGTTGTGTGGGTGTTTTGGCGGGGTGGGGCGGGGGGGGGGTTTGCGGGGCTGGCGGGGCCCAGCCGGGCAGGGGCGGGTTGCTCCTGACCCGGGGGAGGGGGTATCCGGGCAGCCACATTCCTCCATCCCTTGCTCGCAGCCCGTCTTCAGGCTTCCCCGGGCAGCTCCTCGTGTGTCGCTCTCATCCTTTTGCAGCCGAGCGCTTAAAATAGGTAAAATCAGCCCAGCAACACTGCCTGTGTGTTGCACAAATCCAGCCAGCTCCCTAGCTAGGGGACGAGGTGGAGATGCGCATCGTGTTAAGGACGCTGTTCAGTCTTGTTTTGCCTTCGCCCTCGTTCCTTTTTCTTTTTCTCTCTCGCACTCTGCCTCACTTGTACCTACATCGCGTCCGCTTGTGTGTTCAGCGTCCTTTAAATGCACGGTGTGTTTAGCGTCCCTGCGTGGCGCGGCGCTTATACGGACGGCGACAGGACTAGGGAGATGCGGGAAAGCTGCAACCGACTTTGGTTATCCTACTTTGTTAGTGAGGCATGTTTGTCATGTTGGAGAGAGAGGAGGGTATTTGCAGAGCCTTGCTTTTTGGCGTGTCTGCGTGTGCCTGCGTGGGTTTACATTCTGCATTTGAAAGGATAGCTGCCTCGTATTTCTGGTCGGGTCGTTAAAAAAAGCCTTTCCGTGCTGCTTTCGGTTCAGCGTTTCTAGCTTATCTTGAATGCTCGTCAGGGACAGCAGCTCAGCGGACTACCGTTTTTAACCCAAACGACTTTCTGGAACAATGACAACTGAAAAAAAAAAATTTTCTCTTCTCTTTCCTTCTTTCTTTAGATTCTCTCTCTTTGTTCAGGAGCGTAAGGTTGCTTGCTGAGCACAAGAAGATGTTTCTGTGGCTCTTTCTGCTTTTGTCGTCCCCAGCTGCTTCTACAAATGCAGATGCCGACACCTCCGTGGAAATTTGCAACGTGTGCTCCTGCGTTTCGGTCGAGAACGTGCTGTATGTCAACTGCGAGAAGGTTGCAGTCTACAGACCAAATCAACTCAAACCACCTTGGTCTAATTTTTACCACCTCAATTTTCAAAACAACCTGCTCATTATTCTGTATCCAAATACATTTCTTAATTTCACCCATGCGGTGTCCCTGCAACTGGGTAACAATAAATTACAGAACATCGAGGGAGGAGCCTTCCTGGGTCTCAGTGCACTAAAACAGTTGCACTTGAACAACAATGAATTAAAGATTCTCCGAGCTGACACTTTCCTTGGCATAGAGAACTTGGAGTATCTCCAAGCTGACTACAATTTAATCAAGTATATTGAACGGGGAGCCTTCAATAAGCTTCACAAGCTGAAAGTCCTCATCCTTAATGACAATCTGATTTCATTCCTTCCCGATAATATTTTTCGATTTGCTTCTTTAACCCATCTGGATATACGAGGAAATCGAATACAGAAGCTTCCCTACATTGGAGTTCTGGAGCACATTGGGCGAGTCGTCGAATTGCAGCTGGAAGATAACCCGTGGAATTGTACTTGTGATCTCTTGCCTTTGAAGGCATGGCTGGAGAACATGCCCTATAACATCTACATTGGGGAAGCTATCTGTGAAACTCCCAGTGATTTGTATGGAAGGCTTTTGAAAGAAACCAATAAGCAAGAGTTATGCTCCATGGGAACGGGGAGCGATTTTGATGTGCGCATTCTGCCTCCTTCCCAGTTGGAGCCTGGATACAGCACACCTAACGGCCACACGACACAAACATCAATGCACCGGTTAGTCACCAAGCCCCCGAAAACTACAAATCCTTCCAAGATCTCGGGAATAGTAGCCGGCAAAGCGCTCTCCAACCGCAATCTCAGTCAGATCATCTCTTATCAGACCAGGGTTCCTCCTCTGACTCCTTGCCCCGTCCCGTGTGTTTGCAAAACGCATCCTTCTGATTTGGGATTAAGTGTCAATTGCCAAGAAAGAAATATAGAATCGATGTCTGAACTGGTACCGAAACCTTTAAATGCCAAGAAACTGCATGTCAATGGCAACTACATTAAGGACGTGGACACCTCAGATTTCATTGACTTCGAAGGGCTGGATTTGCTACATTTAGGCAGCAATCGGATTTCAGTAATCAAAGGGGAGGTTTTCCGCAACCTTACAAATTTAAGGAGATTGTACCTTAATGGCAATCAAATTGAGCGGTTGAGTCCTGAAATATTTGCCGGCCTCCACAATTTGCAATATCTGTATTTGGAATACAATGTTATCAAAGAAATTTTAGCAGGCACCTTTGACTTAATGCCCAATTTGCAGTTACTCTACTTGAACAACAATCTTCTGAGAAGTCTGCCAGCGTACATTTTTGCTGGTGCTCCCCTTGCCAGACTGAATCTAAGGAACAATCATTTCATGTATTTACCTGTAAGTGGCGTTCTTGATCAGCTAAAATCTCTTACACAAATTGATCTGGAAGGTAATCCGTGGGACTGTACTTGTGATTTAGTCGCTTTAAAACTCTGGCTGGAAAAGCTCAATGAAGGAATTGTGGTGAAGGAATTAAAATGTGAAACGCCTGTTCAGTTTGCTAACATTGAACTTAAGTCACTCAAAAACGAGATCTTGTGCCCTAAACTTTTAAACAAGCCATCTGCTTTGTTCACGAGTCCTGCTCCTGCCATCACTTTTACTACACCCCTGGCTCCAATTCGGAGCCCTCCCGGTGGCCCAGTTCCATTATCCATCCTGATCTTAAGCATATTAGTCGTGCTCATTCTAACGGTCTTCGTTGCTTTTTGCCTCCTCGTCTTTGTGCTTCGGCGCAACAAAAAACCAACCGTAAAGCACGAAGGCATTGGGAACCAAGAGTGCAGTTCCATGCAACTGCAGCTAAGAAAGCACGACCACAAGTCAAACAAAAAGGATGGACTATGTGCAGAGGCCTTCATTCCTCAAACCATTGAGCAGATGAGCAAAAGTCACACCTGTGGCTTGAAAGACTCGGAAACAGGCTTCATGTTTGGTGATCCCCAAGGGCAAAAAGTCATTCTGAGAAACCTGAATGACAAGGAAAAAGATTTGTTGCATGTGGATACCAGGAAAAGACTTAGCACAATTGATGAGCTGGATGAGTTGTTCCCTGGGAGGGATTCCAATGTGTTTATTCAGAATTTCCTTGAGAGTAAAAAAGAATACAACAGCATAGGAGTCAGTGGCTTTGAAATCCGCTACCCCGAGAAACAACAAGACAAAAAAACCAAGAAATCACTAATAGGTGGTAATCATAGTAAAATTGTAGTAGAGCAAAGAAAGAGTGAATATTTTGAACTAAAAGCTAAACTTCAAGGTTCACCTGACTACCTACAAGTCCTTGAAGAACAAACAGCTTTGAATAAAATATAGGTCATGCAATCTTATTTCCTACAGAGGACATTTATTTAATGATGAAAGTGCCTTTTGTTGACTTTTAACTTCCAAATACAATATAATATTGGTAGGCATAGAGGCAGGTGTATCCAAGGGTGTCTGATTAACTGTAGCTGCATCTGGTTTGTCAAGTAGAGGAGAAAGTCCTTAATAGATTTTCCTACATAAAGCTCGTGCCCTGTGGAATCCTGTAGGGATACTGCAAACTCTATTGCCAAAGGGATGCTTTATACACATATTACACTGAATTTAACCTCAAGAGGCATATATGTTTTGTACCTTAAATGCAAAACCTTCGTCTCCTTGTGATTTGTTAGAGCAAACACAAGAAAACTGGTACCAGAGTTTGTACCTCAGCTGGGTCCTTCATCTTGCACGTGGATTAAGGTGGTGGAACTGGAGCAATCCTTTGATTTGTGGTGTTGTAATGGCACTGTTTAAAGATTATCTGAAAAGTAAAAAGCATGCAAAGAGAGAACATTCGATAGTATGTGTAAATTGGTTACATTTATGGCCTGCATCTTGAAACCACTGGATTTATAATGTTAAATTGTGCAAATATTTGTTTAGAATATACCATGCATTACATACCTATGAAATAAATCTGACCACTTGAAGCATACCTGTCTATATATAAAATTAAAAAAAAAAAAGAAAGAAAAAAGTTCCAACTGACGTCAACAGCATTTGTGCGATTTGAAGAAAACATTTGACATTTATGCAGAATCTAATGTATGACTCAAATCCAATTAAGACTAGAGGTCCTTCTCAGTTACATGAAACACCTACAACCCCAAAAGGTTGTCCAAAATTTTCAAAGTGCTTACTGTGTGAGCGTAGCAGAAATTATTTTTGTAATATAATTCATATTTATGAAATACTTTGTATACTAAATAGGAAGATATGTACTCCTTATTATGTATTTAATATGCCTGACTTGTTTTCCTGATCACAGTGCATTAATCATTCAATATAAATTAAAACAGAACAATATACCAAACAGAAACTGGTGATGAAATGTATAGCGTTATCTGGAATTACGTGATCAGGTCTAATGATAATAATAAAAATCGTTCTGTACTATTCTTGTGAAATTAGCATATTATCTTATTTCAGATTTGTTACCAATGGTGCATTTTAAAATAGAGTCATTAGTTTTTTAGTATTGTGTCTCAGGCAATGATTTGCCATCAGTTGTCTTGCTTTTCAGGGTTCTACAGCTTAATCTAAATAGTTTTCACTACAAGTATTTACAAGAGTTAATGAGTAAGGGTAATACTTTACATGTATATGCATCAATTTTCCATTCTTCTTTATCTGGCAGCTGTCAGTCAGATAAATCGGTCAGAACAGTAAACCACATGGCAATCGTGTTTCCTAAAGCCACATTGTAAAATGAATATAGTGACCTTGGTTCAGTCCAGAGTATTTTGTAGTCTGTATCTATAAAGAGTAAAAAAAAAATTCCCTTTGTGGAAGTTGAATCCTGAATTGTTAAAAAGCAAACTGGTCAGGAGAATGGAAAATAGACCTTTTTTATTTTACTGAGAGATGATAACTTAAGGTCCAAGTGGGCATATTTTGGTAAAGCATCATACAGAAAAAACAATGTTACTAGACTGAGCCAGAGTCCAGTGAAGTCCACAGGAATTTCTCCATTGACTTCAATGAGCTTTGGCTCAGGTCTGCCATCTAACTTGCCTCCATAACCTTTTTTCCCCTCCACCTTTTCTAATCAATGCATAAATCAATCAAGCTGTAATAGGAAATAAACATTAATGTTTTTCATGAATTTCAAGTGGCAGGTATTACAGCAAGGCCCAATATCACCACTGTGGTTGAGGCTGTGTCAGCATTTTCCATGGTAAACCTCTGATTTCAGGGCTTTATAACACTGCTGTAAAATTTTATTCTGGGATGGTATTTGGCATACAGCCTGGAGTCATTTTTTTTAAAGAAAGTTTTAAAACATTCAGTGCTTCTTTACTTAAAGAGAAAGCAAAAAAAAAAAAAAAAAAAAAAGGATGTCTTTCACATTCAGCATCATTTGTTTATGCTCCTGTGATTTGAAATAGTTTTCTTTACTATTATATTATTATTATTTTTCCCCTTATTAGGAATGTAAGATTTTTTTTTTAAACAAGCAAATGGCCAGGTTGTTTATCTTTGAAAAAGCTGCTACTATCCATGCACAATAACTTATTTCATCCAAAATGTCATAGGGATTTTCAGGATCCGGTTACTATGCAGTCCTGGTATAAAAGATACCTAGCTGCCTGTTGACATGATACACTGTCTAGGGCTGTGAAGAAAGTGTTTTAGTTTGTTGTGTCAAGAGCCTGTGGATTAAGGCATCTTAAAGATGCACTGACACGATAGAACATAATGGCTCCATCAGCGGTCTGAGGATAATGGGTCATTGTGACTCTGCCTCTGCTCGGTGCTACCCAGCTTTGCGAATGTGTCAAGGTTCACTGGGATTTGTCAAGGCACAAGGCTTTTACATACACTTCACTGCATCATGTTCTCTCTCAGACCCTTCAGCTGAAAGACGCGTCACAGCATTCATTTATTAAATATATACTTTAATGCTTTTTAAGTCACGATAAGGTCAGAACGTTGTGGGTGACTTTGACCTGAGTTACATGAATGGTTGTGAAGGCTGAATGCACCTTCGAACTGGGTTCAGGTTCCCCTCTTTTACAGGGGGTAACCTGTTCTCTGTATAAGGGAGGAAGTACTGTACCATCGTTGTCTTTTAATTGTACTTTTAAACCCTGGGCTAGTGATGCATTTGAGCACATGCTTAACTCTAATCCCATGCAGTCATGGTAATCTTGAGCTTAACGTTTAGCCACTGCTGCTACTTAAGTGACTTAGGCCTCTGCTACATGTTGTACCTATGTCTATGTCTGTATCTATATCTATCTATCTAACTGTATCTAAATTTATTGTATGATTAACCAGCTAATTGTGTAATATCTATCTGTCTAGCTGTAGATCTATCTATCTATCTATCTATCTACAGATAGATAGATAGATAGATAGATAGATATTACACAATTAGCTGGTTAATCATACAATAAATTTAGACCACCCACATATACAAAGAAATGACCATGCCATAAACATGTCTGTCCAGCTATGAAAAGAGCCAACCAGCTACGGAGTTAGTGCTTGAAAATACGTAACGACTGTATATCTGGTTTCTATCCAGCTTTAGTCTGAATATGGGACAGGGCCTAATCGAAGGGTAGTTTTGTCATGGACTTCAATGAGAGCAGGCAGAAAGGCATTGCCACGTATTATCTCGCTAGAGCCCAGGTGTAGAAACTTGTGCTGATGATCGCTTTCCTCCTCGGAGTTGTCCCATGGACTGCGTGGGCCTCGGTCTGATGAGCGGAGGCTCGCCAACATGAAAGGAGTCGCATATTCTGGACCTTACCGTAGGGATCTCTCATAGTGGTTTACATATGTGGTGCAGTACCACGGCACAATGATGCGATTGAAAGAACGTGGAAGTGGGCAAAACACTGTATTTCTTTGAAGCTGTTGGCTTGACACTACCTGTAACGTAACGTTAGTTTGTTTCCTGCAGGCTATGTGTCCGGATAACAGCTGTAGTGAAATGTTCATTCAAATCATTCAAATCAAATGCTGCTCTATCCTGGAAAGGCACTTATCCAGTGCTGCTAAACAGACCAGACCTGTCTGCATTATACTGGAGCTGAGGGGGTGGCCATGCTGTTAAAATGGCTATAAAGACACAAATGCAGCAGTGCGGCAGTGCAGATGTTAACATAATGTGTTGTGTTCATTGTATTATAAACAAGTTTACATTATTTTTTTATGGAGTCAATAAAGTGTAATGATTTCTTTGAAAGAAAGAAAAAAACCAAACCTTTGTGGTCAAAGTTTATCAAAAGGCAGCCATTATGATTCAGCAGCTCAAGACTATAAGTCAATTTGCATTTTATATCTAATTTTCCAGCCTGATAGTAAATACATCTGAAAGATAGTATAAAAGATCAAATTTTTTTTTTGTTGTTGAAAAAAGCCATAAGTACAGTATAAATTATAGAAGGCATGGCCTTGTGAATAACGTTAACAGATGTTTCAGAGTTAGCAAAACATGTCTACAAATTGATGGTGGTATATCTATAATATCTTTTGCATGATTTGTACATTGATATTGTATGAAATGAGCACAGTGGGATATTTTTTTTGTTGCATCCAAAGAATTGGGAAGGAAGTATAACAAGAATGTATTTATAATCACTCTATTTTGAAATAAAGTAAAGAAAAAAATGTATTGTTTTTACCCTGTTTTGATCATTACTATTTTTAGATTAGTTTATAATACAAAATAGTTATCCTATCCAGTACAATGTAAAACACAGAGAAAAATTGTTTTAATGACATTTGTTTGCTTTCAAGATCAAAATATTAGACAATTTATTTAAACATTTGTATGGAAATATTAATAAAATTGTTTCGTACAATCATATTTCTGAAACTAGACTTTGTTAAATGCCTGTAAGCTCTTTAAGAACCTTTTCCAAAGAGAGACAAAAACTGAACCAAACCAAACGTTATTTTTGTATTCATAGTTTTTGCGATGAATACTTTAGAATATTTATTCATGTTTATCCCACTGTCCAATGTTTAGACAAAATCCGGCTTAGTTTACTGGCTCAAGTAGCCCCACAGAGGTCAGTGGGATTGCTTGTATTAGTAACATGAGCAGAATTTAGCCTTTACTCAGCTTCTGATATCTTCAACACTGAGTGCTTAAAGAAACAGCCATGCAAAGCTGTTTTGATCCCCGTCCCTTCTCATTAATCAGTTTGCTTAAAAAAAAAAAAAAAATTGGAGAAGGAGAACCAATTCATCTTTGACTTCCTCCAAGCATCCATTTATATTCCTTTTCAAAATATCTTAGAATCATTTATAGATGAAAGTCAAAAGATACTGCTAGGTAGCTGAGCTTCCAAATGTAGATTTTTGTATTAAAAATGTTTCATGAAGTAGGGAAAATCTTTACGGGAGGGGAGCAGACCTGGGACAGAATTATGTCTAGATTAATCACTCCCCTGCTGTGTTAGATTTAACATGCAGCATGATGGTAACGTCTGAGAATCAGTGAGTGATTATGGACTAGGTAATTGGGAAGAGATACCGATTTTTCCATTGCTCAACGTCAATAGAATATGAACCAAAAGCGTCAGTCGTGAAAATAAAGGCCAACGCCGTGGGAGTTCCTTCAAAAGTCAGATCTTGCGGATTATGTTATAAAAAACATGTTGAACATAATTCCAGTGGTAATTATTGAAGTTGTTGAAAGTACTATGGGTATAAACATTTGTTTTCCAAATACAGCAGATCATTATCTCGACAGAGTCCCTAAGTATTCCTTGCACTGTCTGTAATGTATTTTTAATGGCAAAGCTAATTTATTAAACTTGTAGTTTGTAGTGACTGATGCTGTGTTAAAAAAAATAAAAATATGAAGGTTAATTATCAGGGACAAATTCTTCTCGAAGGACCACTGGTGTAAGTCTAGAGTAACACTATTGATTATTGGCATTAAACCAACGGTGAACGTGAGTGCAGAAACTGGCTTTGTAATGTTTGGCATCGGTTCTTATAATGAAGTTTGGTTGACACCACTCCCATGCAAGCCCGTGAAGAGTTTGGTTGTTGCTTTTGGTTGGAAAATGGCCAGTCCACATGCATAGAGATTTTGCTTCTACTGCCATTGAAGTCAGTGGCAAAAATAACATGGAGAGAATAGGGTTGAACCCAAAATGTCTTGCAGAACTGCCACTGTCTTGTAGTGAAAGTCATGCAATAATATGAGTGACCAAATATATTAGCTTGTTGTTTTACTCTGTACTTGTTAGTATATACAGATTTGCCTTTCTGTGGTTGCATGTTTTCCAGAATACCTACAGTAGGAATTTGCATTTGGAATATTATTTATATTTAATAAC